GTACTTTCCTCTGCCATTATCAAATTTATGTGGATGAATTTGAAGCTTCGAAACACAATGCACAGAGAATTTTCTCTTTCATAAAAAAATTTCTCTGGATGAATTTAACAGGTATTACAAACCCACTACCTATAGTAAATATCAACAAACACAATGCACACTTTAACCGATATTAGAAAATTTCTCTGGATGAATTTGATTGATATTATTATATACACTATCTAAAAAATACATTTCACAAAACAAAATACACAAAATAATCATCAAATGCATTATTCAATCAATAAAATGTATTATCCTCAACTATTTAATAAAGGTTCCTTGCATGCCTTCTTATTATGGTGACCAATACTCTCACAACGACTACACTTAATCACCCTTTTAAACTCTCCAGTAGAAGCAATTATGTTCTTCTCCGGCCTCCCAGCTGGTCTCTTGCTCAATGGAGGTAAAATCATAGCATCTTCAATACTACACACAGGTTTTTCAACAGTTGGAACTGGGCCAATTGAAAACGAGTATGCTTGACGATACATATCAGCATGAAAAAATGGTTCAACATATGAATTCAAATTCTTTCCACTCCTAAAAATTGCAGCAACAGCATGTTGACATAGATACCCATTTATTTCCCATTTTCGACATGAACAAGTTCTCAACCCAAGATCAACCATAACTGAAGGAAAATAATGCACTTCAAAAACATTATCAGATGATAAACTCACATTCCATGTCCTCCCATCCAAGAAAGAATTCTGCAATATACTATCTATACGAGGACAGAGAACTTTATTCCATTTACAAGAGAGCAGCCTCCTATCAGACCTCAAATTCATGATTTGCAATTGTATCATGTCTACCAAATTTGTTATTGGCAAGTGCCGAGCTTCTCGTATCCATGAATTGAATGACTCAGCAACATTTGAATACATCTCACCATAACGCTTCTTCTCAAAATATGCATCACTCCAATTTTCATATGGTAAACTTCTCAAGAAAACACTCACAACGTCTCCTCCCTCACTTTTTAATTCATTTAACTTGAAATGAAATGATGCATTTGTTGGCGCATATGCACATTCTGAAAACTTGGACACAATTGTCTTTCTAACCAAATTTGTGTTTCCACATGACAACTTATCCCTCAAATTTTTCTTTAGATGTTCAAGACAAAATCCATGAAAGCAGTTAGGGAAAAACCTAGCAATTCCTTTCACAATACCGCAATGTCGATCTGATATGAAACTTATCACCCATTCTAATCCCAATACTCCACATAAATGTTTAAGGAACCAACACCAATTGTTTTTATTCTCAGCATCAACAACGGCAAAAGTTATCGGAAAAAAACCTACAAAACAAATAGGAACAAGCATATTAGATATACACATGCAGAGAAAATTAGAACAATAAACAACTAGGGAAATTTGACACTGCCAACATCCAGAGAAAATTCACACATTGGTAACATCCAGAGAAAATTGACTTAGTGACAAACTACAGAGAAAATTCACACAATCAGAATATCCAGAGAAAATTCACTTAGTGACCAACTACAGATAAAATTCAAACATTGGCAACATCCACACAAAATTCACTTAGTGACCAACTACAGATACAATTCACACAATGACAATATCCAGAGAAAATTCACACACTGACCAAAATCTAGTAAAAATTCTCACAATGGCCACAACCATAGAAAATCCACATAGTGGCCAAAACCAGAGAAAATTCAAGGTTTCAGAGAAAAATCACATTCACTCAATTCCTACATGTATAGAAAATTCACATACTTAGATAAAAATAGATATATTTACAATTACCTTCATTCCCATCTTTCCCCGTTGCAGCAAGCATAACTCCTTTGTATCGTCCTTTCAAAAATGTTCCATCAAGAAAAAGCAATGACCGACAATATTTGAAACCAACAATGCATGCGTGAAAAGCCACAAACATTCTTTTGAAACGCTTGTTATCTTCAAAATTTAACTCAAAACGACTACTTGGATTGTTCTTCAATGCCTCATCAAAATACTACCGTAATTGATCGAATGACAAACAAGAATCCCCATATGTACTACGTTTTGCTTTTTCAACACCCAACCAACCACAGTTATAACTGATTGAGACCCCATACTTGTCTTTCATTTCTTTGACAACATCCACTAGACGAGTTAAAGGTTTTGCACTTACCTCTTCAAGTGTCAGTCCAGAAACTAAGCTGGATGTCATTCTAGCATGTTTACTAGTACGAACCACCACACCACATGTATGTTCATTGTTCAAAGTTCTTATGTAAAAGAACCCATTTGTTTTTTCAACTGAAGCATGTACACGCCACATACATCCCCTTGATTCCTTATATGCACATTCTGCCGTAACCCTTAGCTTGTCATTTTTAACATACGTAAACTGAAAGCCAACCTCAATTGCATACTTGCATAAAACAGCACGGAACTCAACCACACCACCCTCAAACTTTTGTCCAACACTCATAATATTATTTCGCCAACCAGCTGACAATAACACATTTTCTTGGTAAGAGCAAAACTTAGAGAGTGAATTCCTTTCAATATCTACCAGCCTATCACATTCACCATTCACAACGTCTACCCAATTAGACCCCACTTCATTATCTTGATCAGAAGTACTACATCTAGTAACTGAAACATCAACTATATCAACACACGTGCACAAACAACTCTCAACATATTCAGAAAATCAATATCATTTCGAACTATACAATTTGGATGGCCCACAATAGAATATGAAATACACATCGTCTCAGGTTGCAAATTCTCCCATATTTTACACAAAATGCCAACCAATTCCTTAAAATTCAATTCGCATGAAACATTAATGACAATAGTATCATTCCTATATTTGCACAACAACAACACTGCACTGTCCATCAAAACTGAAAGAAAAAAATAAAAAAAATAATTTGTTCAATATAAAAACACTTCACAAGAACAACATAAAAGTCAAGAGAAATTTCTAATAATTATAATTTTCTTTGGATTATAATAACAAGCTTATAATTTTCTCTAGATTCAAATAAAAGCCCAGAGACATTTACAAACTTATATTCACCTTCAAGATATCAAAAACAAAATCACAGAAAAATTAATGAATCCAGATAGAATCACAGAGAAATTTACTGCTAACTATTAAACACAATCATAGACAAAAAACACACAGAAAATCTGTTATAAAATTATAAGCTTCTCTGTGATTTTCACTGAAGTACAAGCTTGCAATTTTCTTTGCGTCATTCTGCAATATTACACTCATATCAAAATCCAGAGATATTTACAAACTCATATACACCTTCAAGATTCCCTAAAAACAGTGCACTGCCCATCTAAACTGAAAGAAAAAAAAAACAAAAAATAACTTTTGCTTAGAGAAACAAAAACTTATATTCATTTTATATAAACTTATAATTTTCTCCGAACTACAAACTGAAAGTGAATAACAAACTTATAATTTTCTCTCAACTACAAATAAAATGTCCAAAAAAATTTAAGAACTTACATTCACTTTCTCAGATTCTATCTGCACTAGAAACTAATAATATGTCTATATGAACTTATAATTTTCTCTGTCATTTTTGTTCGATTATAATAACAAACTTACAATTTTCTATGAACTATACCAACAAAAGTGCAGAGAATGAAATTTCTCTAGTTTAAACAAATTTCTCTGGTTTGAAAAAATACAGAACAAAATTTATCATTGATCAACATGTTGATGAAAACAGAGCACGAAAAGTGAACTCTGATCAGCATGTTGATGAAAACCAAAGCATAAAAAATGAACTCTAAACATCAAAATCAACCACACTGTCAACACTCTTTGAAATTGATAAAAAAACAGAGAATGAAAAATTAATTCCAAAAATAAAAATCAACTCTATCAAGCTGTTCTCTGTCTAAAATTGATCAATAACAGCAAATGAAAAATCAACTCCAAAAATCATAAATAACTTCACTGAGCTAGCCTCTCTTTTAAATTGATCAAAACTGAAAACAAAAACCTAATGCAAAAATACACTCGAAAAACTAATATGAAATTGGAATCCTTACATAAAATTCAAAACAAAAATAAAAAATTCATGTAGAATCTATATCGAAATCATACCTGATTCAACTTCACTGAAAAACCTACGCGATCAACACACTATAACACCTACACGATCGTCGTAATCTCTATTGTGAAGTCCACTGCAACACTTGCGAAATCCCTACAAAATCTCTACTGTGAAATCAGTTTCCAAAATTAGTTTCCAAAACCGTGAAATCAGCAGTTTGCCAAAATCCAAACGATCTTATGTTATGACGAGGGTAAATTAAGTATTTTATAACATAAAATAAAGTTGAGGGATTTTAGCCATCATAACATATTATTGTGTACCTCTCCTCTTATTAAAAGTTGGAGAGGAACCTTAGGCCAAATTTTTTTTTTTTCCTAACACTCTGTTTGTATGGAAGCGTCTGGTGAAAAAAGAAAAAGAAATCGTGAGAATAGGAAATCCCTTAACTTATTTGAAGGCTTTTTTTGAGAAGTAGGTTAAAAATAAGCTTTTTGGGCTTTTTTTGATTTTTTTTTTAAAAGTAAGAGAATAAAGAGGTGATTTGACTAAAAAAAAAATAAAATCAAAAAGTCAATTTTTAACCCAATTATTAAAATAGACATAAGTAAATGATGAGAGATGACAAGGGGTCCCAAAATAATTAATCTTTTTATCTTTTTATTTTTTTATCACATTATCTCTCTATTTTTCTGCACATTTTTTTATAAAAACATAAAAAATACACTTATTTAAATCATCTCATCCAAAATAATCTATTTTTTTATTTTCTTTTATCTTTTTTCTATCACATCACCTCTTTATATTTTTACACATCCTTCAATAAAAAACGCTTATTTAACTCGTCACATTTTTACACATCCTTCAATAAAAACGCTTATTTAACTCGTCACAAACAAACAAGATCAGCCGACTGTCACTTTTAACATTAACAGACTTTCGTTGTGAATTATACACTTTCAATTCTCTCCGCCATCCACAGCCAAATTCACGGAACTCGTCAAAAGCATCACCACCACGACGCGGCGGCGTCGTCTTCAGGTTTGAGTCGTGGAATCGAAACCGATCTTTGCATGAACGGGGCTGGTTCTCTCCAATTCCCCTTGTACACTTCTTACTCCAAAACCCTAAAACAAACCTCCATCAGACACTACCACCACCCGCCGGCGATGAAGGACCGGCCTCCGCCATCGGCTTACGGCGCCGTCTACGTCCCCCCGCACCACCGCCATCGCTCCCTCATCACTTCCTCTGCTCCCTCCAATCACTCCTCTTCTGCTCCCTTTGTTGTCGACTCAAAGACTGTCACCACTCACAACAACAACAACAACAACAACAACAGCTTTCCCAGAGGCAATTCCTACCCTTACTTGCCTTACCACCAACACCAGCACCAACAACAACACCGACACCAGCTGAAGAAGATTTCGCACTTCGATGCCGATGCCGATGATTTCTCGGAAGAAGGTTCTGATTTTGACATCGACCCCCCCTCCAATCCTGTGAGTCTCTCTCTCTCTCTCTCCCCTTCTGTTTGTTCCATTTCTGTTGTAATTTTCAAAATTTTCCTCTAATTTGTATTGTATATTGCCCCGGAGCCCACAATTTCGTTATTTTCCCTTTCTTGTTTGGAGCTTAGTAGAGGAAACTCCTAATTGGGTGATATTTCTCACTTGGATAGAAACTCTTAAAACATTCAAATCTCAAAAGAAACAAGAGGAAATTAACTTAAATTATTTACTAATTATTTATTTATACTTAAAGAAAGATAATATGTAGATTACATCAATCTCAAATATTTATTCATAATTTACTTTTATATTACAACAAAGTAGAAAAATGTATTTAATATGTACTCATTTCCATGGGTGCTTTCAACTTTGGAAACTTGTATATGCCTTCGTTCGCCTGCCTCTGCACTCGCTCCCACTGCGTGCAACGTTGAAGAGGATTGTCAACTTTGACTCTTGAGTGACCTTAGCTGGGCTTTCACTTTTATTTAGTCGTTCACTTGGTAATATTTGATTAAGTCAAGAGTTAAAAAGAGAGAAAATCTGTATATGACATCTATGAAATTGTACAAAAATGCCTATATATAGCCCTAAGGTGAATAGTGTACCAGAAAAAATAAAATAAATGGAAATACACTGAACATGGAATATATTATATAAGGAAAGAAAAGGGGGGGGGGGAGAGAGGGGGGGGGGGGGGTATTAGGCACTTTAGGCCTATCAGTTTACTTGGTAGTGTATAGAACTTGTTGGAGAAAGTTTTGGCAAATAGGCTTCGAGGTGTCTTGCAGGATGTGGTGTCTGAATCTCAGAATGCATTTGTGGGGTGAGGGGTCCGTAGATTTTGGATGCGGTTTTGGTGGCTAATGAGTGTGTTGATTGTTGGATTCAACAAGAGCATCCTAGTTTGATTTGCAAGTTGAATATTGAGAAGACCTATGATAACGTAAATTAGGTGTTTCTTCTTTATATTTTGGATCGGATGGGTTTTGGGGTGAAGTGGTGTCGGTGGATGAAGTATTGTGTTTCCGCGGTGTGGATGTCTATTTTGGTGAATGGTACGCCGTCGGGTTTCTTCTCAACATATTGGGGTCTTCGGCAGGGGGATCCTTTATTTCCTTTGTTGTTTATCTTGGTCATGGAGGCTTTTGGTAGGTTGTTATCGGGGTCGGTGCGTGAAGGTTGGAAGGTTTTACTGTGGGCTCATCATCTGGGGTTGCTTTTGGTGTGTTTCATTTATTGTATGCAGATGATGCTTTGGTTTTTTGTGATGCGATTGTGGAGCGGTTAGGGTATTTGTGATGTGTTTTGCTTTGCTTTGCTTTGAGGCAGTGTTGGGCTTATGGGTTAATTTGAGTAATCTAGAGTTGATTTTGGTGGGAGAGGTTGGCAGGATGCAGGTGTTAGCGGCGATTTTGGGATGTAAGGTGTCGGATTTGTTAGTGATTTGGGTTTATCGTTGGGTGCTAGTTTCAAGATGAAAGGGGTGTGGGATGGGGTGGTGAAGCGGGTGCATCGTCGTTTGGCGAGGTGGAAAAGGCAATATCTGTCAAAGGGGGGAAGGTTAACTTTGATCAAGAGTGTGTTGAGTAGTATTCTGACTTACTTTATGTCGTTGCATGTTAGTCTTGTTTTGTGGCATGACGTTTGGAGAAACTTCAGAGGGATTTCTTGTGAGGGAGTAGAGGGGAGGAGTTCAGATATCACTTGGTTGATTGGGGGCAGATTTGTCGTCCTAAGGAGATGAGTGGTTTGGGGGTACAGAGTTTAGTGACTTTTAATAGGGCATTGTTAGGGAAGTGGTTTTGACGGTTTGCTTGGGAGCAGGATCGTTTATGGCGTCGGGTGGTGGCTATCAAGTTTGGGGTGGATAGGGGGAATTGGCGGTCGGGGGATGTGATGGGGTCTCATGGGTGGGGCCTGTGGAAGGGAATTTGGATAGGGAATGAGGAGTTTTGGGATATGGTGAACTTCTAGGTGGTGATAGGGGAGAAGGTACGATTTTGGAGGGATAGTTGGTGTGGAGAGGTTGTGTTGGAGGTGTGTTTCTCTTTGATATTTGGTATTACTATGGATCAGAAGGCCACTGTTGCATCTTGATTGAGAGGTGGGGATACGGTAATATGGGATATGCAACTTCGGCTCCAAGTTCAAGATAAGGAGGTTGATCAATTGGGATAGTTGTTTAGTTTTTTTATGGGTTGGGGGTTTCGGGTAAGGGGAAGATGTGCTGGTTTGGAATGTTTTGGGTGCCAAAGGATAGTCTTTGTTTCGCCGTTTTATCGGAGTTTGACAGGGGAGGTGGCAGGGGTCTTTCCTTTCAAGAGTATTTGGGTGCCGGGAGTTTCTTCTAAGGTGGTTTTTTTTTCTTATGGACAACTGCTTTAGGACGGAACCTTACTATTGATAATTTGGTTCGTCGAAGGCATGTGATAGTGAATTGTTGTTGTATGTGTTGTGCTGATGCAGACTCAGTCGATCATTTGTTTCTTCATTGTTCAGTAGCTTTGCGGTTTTGGAGGCTTATTTGTTCTCTTTTCGGGGTTGATTGGGTGCAGCCAAGGCTTCAAAAAGCGGTGTTACGTAACGGTTATGGCGGTAGGCATTACTTGTTACACCCGCATTTGCGGTGTGACGGAAATTCACACATGTAATGGCCGTTTCGGTGTTAATGGCTGTAGCAGTACCATAACGGCCCATTGCACACATTTATAACATTCTGAATAGCTTCCTTCAAAAAAAAAAAAGAATAGCTTCCTTTAAAAAAAAAAAAAAAAAAACTTACAAAATATACATTATACACATTCTGCAATATGCAGTAGCTTAAAATCATTTTTGTTTATGTCTCAATTTTTATTTTTATAATCATTTCATTTAATAATTGTAAACATTTTTTTATTTAATTGGTTTAGGTATTGGTCCAAAATAATTTTGTAGACATTTAAAATCAATTATTCTTAAAAAATAGATAAACATAAGAGGTACAATATGGATTTATGACATATGAAGTCATTAACTTTTGAAATAAAATGTAAAAAACTCTTTTTATAGTGATTTAAAAATATGAAATATATAGGATCATACTTAAAAACTAACAAAATTTGATCAAACTATATTTTAAACCCCAATAAATGTGATTTTGGGAAAAAAAATATGCTTATTGGGTAAGTTCTTTTCAAATTGTGTGAAAAATAAAAAAGTTCACGGTTCTGGTTATCGCAACCGTTACACTACAACCCTTACACTCTGCAACCGCACAACCGCAACTGTTATGACGATCGCAACCCGCTTTTTCAAACCTTGGGTGCAACTAAGGGCAGTTTTGGATATGTTGTGGGGTTAAAGGGGGTTTGGGTTGGGCGGCGTCGGTGTCAGTGTCGGATTTGATGGTTGGTGCCTTTTTGTTTGATATGGTTGGTTTGGTTGGAGCGAAATTGACGAACTTTTCAAGAGATTTATCATTGTGTGTCATGGCTTGAGAATTGGCTGCTAGTTACTATGTATAGTTGGTTGGTGAGTAGGGTGGATCCAGATTTGTTTGCTTTTTTAATTTTTTTGGATAATGTTATTGGTTAGATGTTTTTAGTTTCTCCCATTTTTTGGTTTCCTTGTATTCTTTTGCATAGATGCCTTTTCAATAGTCTTATTATTTATCCAAAAAAAAAAAAAAACACCAAAATTATATACATTCTTCTCAAACTCAAGGTGGGAGAGCAGAGACCAACTTATCAACTTGAGTTTGAAAACCAAATCATGAAAGCATACTAGATGATGTGATTTGATGAGAATACCTACCATTTGATCAGTTGAAGAAATGAATAGTTCCATGAATAACATGCTAGCTCACAAAGTGACAATCAATCTCTATATGGTTAGTGCATTAATGGAAGACATCATTGTAAGCAATCTGGATAGCACTATGATTATCACAGAACAAATAAGAGGAGCTGTGGAATGTGTAACCCCCATATCCTCAAGTAACCAACAACACTAGATGAGCTCTTGGGTAGTATCAGCTAGAGCACAATATTCTGCCTCTATATTAAAGTGGACAGTTATAGTTTGCTTGTTACTATGCCAAGGTATAACTTATAAGAGAATTGCCCAAGAAGAAGCAAACATCAATAGTAGAATGCCGATCACTAGGGTCATTAGCCCAATCAACATTAGAGCAAGGACACACCCCAAGAAAATGAATTGAGAAATGAAGACTGCGAGACAAAGTCCCTTTGATGTAGTAAAGAATGCGAAGTACTTCAATTGATGAGTGGAATGAAGCATTGACAAAATTGTCTGACTAGATGCATAACATAGGAAATGTCAAGTAAGTAACTGCGACATAGATAAGGTCCCCAAAGCAACTGTATGTAAAGAGTGGCATGTTATATAGAGGAGTTAGCCTTGCATTAGGCTTAAGAAGAGTGAAAACAGTCTTGTTATTAGTGAAACCAACTCTAATTAGAAGTTAAGATGCATACTTGGTCTGAGAGACGTAGTAACCATTTGAATCAGAAGACATCTCAAGATTCAAGAAGTAACTGAGAGAACTTAGATCCTTCATTACAAAATGTTGGCTGAGAAATGTTTTGAAATTAGAAATACCAACCGGATTATCTTCAGTAATAATCATGTTGTTAGCATAAAGAAGAATAATAGTTTCATGCTTATACTTACAAGCAAATAGAGTTGAGTCACGAGGACTAGAGGTGAATCCGAAATTCCCAATAGTAGTATTGAACTTGGCAAACTGTGTCCGAGGAGCCTATTTAAGATCATTTAGAGCTTGATGAAGTTTGCAGAAATTGTGTGTGAAGGATAAGTATACCCCTAAGGAAGTTGCTTATATACTCTCTCATGGTCTCAATTAAGAAATGCATTTTCAATCTGGTAGAGGCCCCACTTTCGGACAATGACAAGTAAATTGTGAATAGAGGTGAGATGAGTAACTGGGTTAAAAATTTCCTCATAGTAAATACCATGCCCGTGTGTAA